CTACCCCAGCCAAAACCAGCACATTCTCTACCCCTTCTTCCATACCATTTACGTCATGCTCAGGTCCCACACTATCCAATACAACCTCATTAACCACCATCCCCCTTCCCATCCTTTGACGTAATACACAGATATCATTCCCTTAGTCTATGGACCACCTCTGTAAAATGTCCATAAAATGTCCACAAAATGTCCATTGAGTTCATTTAGTCCATGACTTCGAATTCCATCTGTTATGATGGTCACTCAGGATAGGAGAGGTGGTGTGTTTGTGGAGTTACTGTGCACCAAAGCCAGCTCGGACCAGGTCAGTACTGCACTGACTGCTTCTCAAGGCTTGTCCTCCACTGGTTTGGAGGAGTATAGTTCCTGCTACAGTAATTTCTATAACATGCAACTCAAATCCCAGTTTACCACAATTTAAAGGTATTTCCATTACAGTCTCCACCCCTGGTCCCTTTGGACCAGACCATCGGGTTTAACATTGCAATGAACTCCTCCCCTTGCCCCTGCTCTGGCTTGGACTTATCCACAGACTGGAGTCCGTTAAGGTTGTACCTCCTCCAAATGGAGCCTCATTTATGAGCCACAGTCTCTCCATGGGTATACCTGCTGTGGCATAGACTTATCCACAGCCACGGTCTCTTTGAGGTGCACCTGTTCCAGCGTGGCCTTATCCATGGGCCGCAATGCCTTCAGAGATACACCTGCTCCAGCGTGACCTTACCCATGGCTGCAGTCCCTCCAGGGGTGTACCTGCTCTGTCGTGGGCTTATCCATGGCCACACTCTTTGAGGTGCTTCAGCATGACCTCATGCAAGCCGCAGATGCTTCGAGGTGTACCTTTCTGTCAGTGAATTATTTGATAAATGCTAGTGTTCCCTGCAGACTAACTAAGGAATGACTGAGCTAGTTTAAAGTATCTACTCAAACTCAACCGTTTATTACAGCATACCTGTACCTTTGGCTCTCTTTGTTCTCTTGATACGTGTATAGCATACCTTTCTCATGGATAAGTCAGTTACCTGCTGGTAGTTTTATCTGGTTTCCAGGTGCCGTCCATCCAGTGGAAAGGGAGGACCAGTGATGTATGAGCAATTTCACCAAGTTTCTACTTAAGAGGAACAGTGTCAGGATGTGCTTATAGTATCATAGAATAGTTTGGGTTGGAAGGGACCCCTAAAGGTCATCTAGTCCAACCCCCCTGCCGTGGGCAGGGACATCTTCAGCTAAATCAGGTTGCTCAGAGCCCCGTCCAACCTGACCTTGAATGCTTCCAGGCATGGGACATCCACCACCTCTCTGGGCAACCTGTGCCAGTGTTTCACCACCCTCAGCGTCAAAAATTTCTTCCTTATGCCTAGTCTAAATCTACCCCCCTTTCGTTTAAAGCCGTTCCCCCTTGTCCTGTCACAACAGGCCCTGCTAAAGAGTCTGCCGCCATCTTTTTTATAAGCCCCCTTTAAGTACTGACAGGCTGCAATAAGGTCTCCCCGAAGTCTTCTCTCCTCTAGGCTGAACAACCCCAACTCTCTCAGCCTTTCTTCATAGGAGAGGTGTTCCA